GGGGGGGGGGGGGGGGCACATTTCCTCGTTACACCAAATGAAAGTTTTCTTAAACATCACAACAGAGGATTTGCAAGAATACAGAGACGAGAAAGATTAGAGAGAGGCACGCTGCTGTCAGTTTCCCACCTGGAATGGATTTCACTGGTTCCGAGTTCTGCTGCTTTCTGCATTCCTAATGGGGAAAAAGTATGGATGGGCCTGCATTTATATCAACAAACAATCATGAACTCATCATAAAAATCCAAGGCATATAAAACTATTACATCTCAGTATGTATTATGGCCCTCTTCCTGTTTCACTTCATTCGACGCTCACAGAGAGTGGTCATATGATCACTTCTACAAGGTCCTTTTACAGTGTTTTCCACAAAACTTCAAGGATGCGAGACATATCATGAATCTTACTAAAAGAGAAGAATAAAATGCTTTAGTGCAGTGAAATTTTACCATTGCCTCTTTAGCAGTTAGCCTTTCTTGATGGTCATAGCGTAACAATTTATCAACGAAGTCAACAGCCTTCAAATGTATAATAAATATGATCAGAAAAATTGACCCTAAACAAACAAAATACTATGTCATAAAATGAGAACTTTTCTGACGTCTTACCTCGGGGACTGCCAAATGCTGATTGTCAACATTAATGAATTTGGTCCAAGGTTTTCGACTATGCCTTCATCAAATTTATTAAAAAATAAAGTAAGCAATCACAAAAGAAATCGAAGTGAAGTTGCCAATTACCAGCACAAAATAAAAATGCAAGGAGTCGAGCGCTTGAGAACAAACCTCCCAACAAGAGCCGAAAGATGAGGGTCTAATTCTATTCGATATTTATTCAAGTATGCGTTCAAATCATCTGTCCCCAACACCTGTTACAGCAGAAGACCATAAACATCAAGTTTGACCTTTACCTCTCAAGGAGAGTACGTTTACTTATTCTATCCATTCGAAACTATATCCAGATGAACGACATGCATACAGCGTGCACTGATAAACTAAACTATAAAGCATTTCATTCAATTAAAAGATTAAATAACCCGGCAAAAATCCAATAAAATATGAAGGTGAGATAAGTAACTTGGAAAATACAAATGGATAGGATCAAAACCTTGTCACAAAAATTATATTAACTGTATGAATAGAACAAAATATGAAAATTGAATTCAAGAATATTCCATACCTTGGCTATTTTAACCAACTGGTCATAATTATCATGTCCATAGAAGAATGGCTCCTTTCGGAAAATCTGACAGCACAAATTACAATTAGAAGTATCAAGCAATTCTATACGAGAGGAATATTTCTTTAGAGAGCTAAACAAGTGGAATATGGAACAATCAAGGCAGCTTCCATCTGAGGATGAATAGGAAAGTAAAATAATGTCCACTACATCCCAACTAGAGAGTTCTCGTTCTTTTTGGTGGGGGTAGAACATAAAAAATTCTAATAATCACAAAATATCATGAAAAGAAGCCCAAATTCAAATGAAACAACAATATAACTCAGAAACCACCACAAAATGCAACGCATGCCACTTCCAAATTAACCTATACTACCATCAACTATGTATGAAGACCTCAGTAACATATGAGTCCATTTGTCTTCCACATGCTTACGATGAAAAAATATAATCCTACATGTAACTCAAGTAAATAATTGTAAGATGTTAGAATCTCTAATAAAACTTTTAGCAATTATTAAACCAGAAAATTGTAATATCAGAAATTGAAGATATTAACAAATTACTCACCATTCCGGCAAACATGCAACCAAGACTCCACAAGTCCAAAGAGTAGTCATAATCTTGTAAATCAACAAGAAGTTCTGGACCTTTGAAATATCTGCAAGTACTCAACAAAATTATGAAGGGAACATATTGATCCAAAATCATTTACAACAAACTTAGAAATGCAACTAAATAAATCTTAATATATTAATTTGAATATAAAACAGTTTCACAGACAAACAACCTTGAAGCAACACGAACATTATACTCTTTCCCAGGATGGTAAAACTCAGCAAGACCCCAATCTATAAGACGAAGTTTACGTTTCTCATGATCAATCATCACATTATGAGGTTTGACATCTCGATGCATAATTCCTTGCGAGTGGCAATAATCCAATGCCTGCACATACAGTATCCAACAACATGAACGCACCTAGAGTCAGCAAAGTCAAATAAAAACTATGGGGTTGGGGGTTAATAAAGCAACTGCAACACCAGCAAGCAGTTGGCATACAAGAAAACTGCTCACTTATTATGGCAATAAAAACGATCAGAAACTATATGCTTGCCTTTAGAAGTTCATATATGTAGTAGCGAATATCGAAGTCCAGGAGTGTTGGATAAAGAACTTTAAAATCAAGATTGTTAACATGCTCAAATATAAGACTAGGGGTCTTCGATTGCTGGTCTCGAACAATATCAAGCAACTTCACGATATTTATACCCCCACAAAGATTCTGCAGTATTTTTATCTCCCTCTTAATCTGCATTGAGTAAAACAAACAAAATATGACATCTTGAAAATACAATAGGTTCAAATGAATAGAAAGGAAGTAAGCAGGTTTTTGCAAGTTCTGAAGAGCTTGAAAGCATGTTAAAACTAGAGATAAGATTCAACTTGATAAATTGTTTGTTAACAAAAAAAAAAAAAAATAGTAATAATAAGATGACTAATATGCATGTGTGAGCAATAGATGAGGGTCTGGTAATCTGACTATTAGACCTTCAAGAATATTCCAGAAGAAAAGAAGCAAATCCTTTAATTTTCCTAAATCCCCAAAGACAGAAACGATGAACACTGATACCATTTCGTAATATAAAACTCATCCTAAACTATGTCTAATTAACTGAATCCCACATGAAGTGATTGTAATCAAAATCTAGAGGCTAAAACAAAACTAGAGCCGTTGTCAGAAGTCATAAATAAATGACATTTAAGTAAAGTAATTTTAGGAAGGCATCAAAAGCCTTAGAAGCGTGAGCATAGACAGACAAAACGACAGAACACTTACCATCATAGGTAAAAAATGTTGTGATGATGGGAACAATAATCATAGCCAGTCCCTTAAACAAAATTATTTTATTTCCACATCCTCTAATTCCACTATTGAATTTTACTTTAACACAATTATTTGTTTCCTCTTGTTCCCTACTTATTTTTTACAGGTTTTTGTACCTTTCCATTTATTCTTTAGTTCCTAGATGCATACGTATGGATGTCTAACTTTGAAGTAATCATAAATTGTTTTTCCTCATTTCCTTGAACCTCACGTGGTTCCAACATGTATGATAAATTTGACAAGAAAAACGGACAGTCGAAATTCACATGTAGAACAGGAAACTCTACACAAAATAGTGATCAAGCTTCCTAGACAACAAACAAGACAAACATGCAAATACGCAAACTATTGCGCGACAATTGTTGGGCAAAGAGAAAGGAAGAATCACAATAAGGAAAGCAAGCAAGCAATCGGTGCCATTAGTTTACTGAGAACTTAAAAAATCAAATTCTAAGATTAGCCACGGTTCATAATAGAAGAAGAAAATACACGATGTCTGCCAAGCTATTATTTCCCATGGTCAATGCAATGAGATGCCTATATTACAGATGTACAAGTACCACTACACAACAATGTTAAACCGTCCGTGCAGTATCCTTGACAAAACAAAACTTACCTTTTTCTTCTTCACTGGTTTAAGAATCTTAATGACACATTTCTCATTGTCAGTGCAATGAACACCCTCAAACACCTCACTATATTTTCCTCTCCCCACCTTCCTCACAACCTCATAATTATCCTGGTCCCTGTAAAACGAACACCATTATCCAAAGAAGGTAAGAACATTAGTTTCATTCAAATGCAAAACTTCTTTTTGGAAATGGAATTCATGACCCATCCCACGCTTGGAAACCTCCGAAGGCTAAAGGAAATTAAACGAAACATATTCGCATAAGCTCGTACAATTAAGCGACTAAAGAAGAAGTAAGCCAGGGCGCCGTAGAGTTTGCTACCAATAAAGAAAGCAAGAAGCTATATATTAGGACATGAACTTAAAAAGGCCGTTCCAATACAAACCTAGCGAGGTCCAGTTCCGCCCCAGCTCTTTCTACCAATCAAACTAAATCGGAAAAAGCTATCCCTAACAAACAAAAAGTGACGAAGGAGAAAAACAATTACCCCCACTGTACGGTGAGGGACTCATAGTCCCAATACTCCTTGGGTCGGATCACATTAACATCGGCATAAACCCTAGCTTTCGAAGAAGCGCCAGGGCGACGAATCGATTTCCCGATCTTCTGCGCCAGGGTTCCTAGCGGGGACAACGAACGCAGAAGCGGCTTGAACCTGTGCGGCGGAGGGTGGTGTCGGAAACGAGATAAGGAGGCCGCCGACGAAGAAATCCGACGGAAAAGGAGGAGGAGGAGGATTGAAGACACGGATTGGCGGAGAGAGAGGGCGGATAAGAGAGGAGGTGAGAAGAAAAGAAAAGAGAAGAGAGAGATGGGTGGGGTAATTGGAACTCGGAAGAAACTTTGAAATTGAGCGCCCTTATGGCAATCAACTCCCTGATTGAAACCAAAATCCACCCTATTTTCTTTTTCTTTTTTCTTTTTCTTTTTTCTTTTTCTTTTTAATTTTGTTTGTTTTCTTTTTTCAAATCATAAAAGTTCTGAAAACAAAGTTCTTATAAATAGAAATCACATCAATGCGACGGTTCAAACTATAAACGATGCCAGAACTAAATTACCCAATATACCGAAATTTATAGAAAGTTGGTCGTAAACTTTTTGAAGACCAATAACTTACAGAACATGCATCTATGTTGACATGGAAAATGTCATGGTGTGCGTTCAAAACCAAACCAACTATTGGTCCAACAAACATGTCTGTTTCTTATTAAACTCTATATTATCAATAACAACCAATTCTTATCCTGTCATATTGAAAACGACCTAACCATATGCTATATCTTTTTATTTCTTGAATTTAGATGGTTTATTCGATCATCGTCGAACACGTGCATTTGAGAATTTTGATCAATTTTGCAATATTAATCCCAAAAAGTGTAGGTTGGCTGATTTTTTTACCATTGTAAACATTTTTTTAATATATTTATGGGACAATTGAAATATATATATATATATTTTCTTGAAGAAACCCGGTTTGGGCCGGGGATTTGTCAGCCCAAAGTCGGAGGGGCTCAACAATGCCAATGAAATTAGATATTAGTACTGCGGCCCGAAGGAGCTGAAGCAGTCCGAGAATGGAAGGTCCCTGGGTCGAAGATGGGTGTGGGGAACCCATGGTAGCCACAGCATTAGGTGGATCAACAATCCCAGAGATCCTTCCTTCGCATGGAAAGCACGACGGCTGTCGATTAGCTTGGGTTTCACCCATCTTATATTTAATAATCGTGTTGCTCTGCAATTAGTTTTCAGCTTCTGTGTGCATATCAGGTGTTTGTGATTTTGCTCGTGTGAGTTTCTGGAACTGTTGATACATATGATAAGAAGAAAGTTATTTTTGACCTGTTCCTATGAGTACCCAAATTTGTGAAGACAGTGAGTACCGCGCGCCTACCCTTTGCATGATCATGAATTTATAATCAATGAATACTATACGAGAACTTATGCTCAAAGTGTACAATATTATACCATTGTGATGAGTCATGTTTATCTAACAATACCTCACACCCTCATCCACGATGATGCCTTCAGAAACCAACCATTCTAAGAATCTTGGTTCAATTGGACCTATCTCGAAGATTGGATTTACGTGCATTGAAGTCTGCCCCATTGGTGTGAGGCACTCCTTCATTCTGCCCCCCCCCCCCCCC